TGGGACAATACATTCAATTGTGTGCCAGAAGGGCTTCATAGGCGTTCAATTTGTGCTTTCATTAGTTCGTCTTAAAGATCCTTTAGAAGCGTTTATATGCATCTCGAAACAATCTTGGAACACATACTGGTAATAATCACCTGAACATACCTTCACACTTCTAACGCACCTTGGGAAAACTCAGAAGGTATGTACAACGTATAGAAAAGCCCGCGTTTTACAGGCCCTTGCGCAACCGTTCCCCCTTTGCAAGACACATATCGCCCTGCGACTCTCCTGGGTCTCTGGAATGTGTCTCCGGTGACTCATTCGATGGCATTCAGAATGGCACCGGAGAGATTTGGCTCCCGTGTGGATGGACCTAGTGAGCTATCACGCACTAAAGGATTCGCCAAATGGCCCGAAATGCTGTGAGCACAGCAAAGTTGTTTATGCTCAATTGACCAAATTGCGTTTCCGTTTAAAGCTCAATTCCAGCTAAACTTTTACACTCACAGTACAGATAACATCAGTCCTCAATCTGTATTATGAACAGTTTTCACTATCGCAATTGCATGTGAGCTACTTTTAAAACAGAAAATGTATGCATTCCGTTAACTATATCCTCAGCAAAAATAATTTAAAGAAGCGAGAATTGCTAACAAAATATCCTCGGTGAATATAACAATATGTTATTATTCTTGTTACATTTATTTGTCAAAATTGGTTGAGGAGCATTCTTAGGATTTTATGTTTTAGATTTCAACACATAATTTCCAAGTCTAGCTTTTTCGAGAATTATCAGCTGTTTTCGCCCATCTCACCATTCCTTCCCTTGGCGGCTTTTCCGTCCTTTCGCTCCCACACCCCCGCTCCCCTGGTGCAGCGTCAGCTGTCTGTCTGTCCGATCTGTCCGTCATCCCTCTCCTCTCCCCTCACCCTCTCCTCCTCCCCTCCCTCCCCTAGGATCGTCTCGGCATCGGTCGTAGCCGGCTCCAGCTGTCCCCGACCGCACTGGTTCATTGATCGGACGGATTCAGCCGACGTAACGACCGCTGTCCTTCCATGGGATCGCCAGACTGGAGTGGGGGGGGAGGGGGAGGAGGGGGGATTGTGCTGACCAAAGGGTGACCTGGAGTGACCCGAGGGTGACCTTTTTTGACCTGAGAGTAACTAGACTGACCGGCGGGCCACTCGCAAACTGACCCGAGGTGGACCTGGACTGACCGGTACGATGACCTGGACTGACCGGGACGGTGACCTGGAGTGACCTGAGAGCAACCTGGATTGACCTGAGGGGATGCTTGAGTGTTCGGACGGAAAGACTCAGACCAGAGGGACGAGAAAGATTCGGACCACCAAGAAGGGTGATCTGGATTGACTGTTCTGGAAAGATTCACATTGACTGGAAGGGTGACCCAGATTGATTAGTTAGAAAGACTTGAACATAGACTCCCCAATTCACCGTAGAAACAAGAAGCAATGAAACGATTTCCTCCATCAGCACGTATAACTCTGCATACAGTAGTATTCAGAGGTTTATGACTCAAACCAACAAGAAGGACGATTCGAACAGACCAGAGGGTGAACTTAGAACTGTGACTACCGGAAGCGAAACATGCGGACCGTCAAGACGGGCCCATCTGAAGTGATGAGATGAACCCCATCAACCGGCCGGTTATAATGAGATTTCTGGGTGGGTGACCACCAGCCGATGAGTGACCTTTTCAGGGGGAGTTGATCTGAGACCCACTGGCGACTGAAATGACAAACTCGTCCCAGCCCGGGTATAGAAGGCTTCAGTCAGAGGTGGAAGCAATGCTGACGGACACACACGACAATTGACTTATTTTTTAGATTGGAGATCTATCAATGCGATCTGTTATCCCATTTAAGCGGTCTATATTTGAGCTCAATTGGTGTGCGCCATTTGAACAGAGTGGGTTTGTTGTCAAAGCTTCCATTTTTTTGGTATTATAGGTACTTGACCTTTGTTGATTGCCTTATACCAACCGCAAATTGAGGAACATCAGCCACATCGTTCTGAGAAAATGTGTTAATTGTAATTGATAATATTGTAATACAATTTTCTTGAATTTATAACTTATGAAACATGCAATTGCATATTGCATGAAATGAACAAGCAGAACGAAGTTAAACGTGGCATGACCTTTGCATGCTCCAGCGTCATACAAAATGGAAGCCAATTATTCAAGCGACCATCCAGAGTTTTAATGTTCGGATGACCATCATTTGGTGCCCCAAACCTCATGCCTCAGCCGAAGGCTCATGCCATCTGTAATAATATTTCAATAAAAAGGAACACTGCATAGAATAACTGATATATAATGAGCAATTGCACTTAACTCCATGTCCTTGCTTAGAATCATAAAAATGTACCATTATCACTGAGTCTATCGAAATATTCGTATTCACACAATCATAGATTACACGTTATGCTACCATAGATTGCTTCCGAAGTATATGGCTACAGAGTGCACATTGCACAGTGTACGTGTCTCCAAAGCACCAACCTCTACCACCAGAACCTGTTGACGCCGTATAACCCCGCTACAAGAGTCTCGCTTCTGATTGACCCCGCCCTCCCAATCAAATTGATATTCCCCGTCTGTCAACTCATTCGAGACGCACGACCAGCCGCAACTGGCATACGGCTGATTGAGGAATGTTTTCATCCAGCCACAGCTAGATCCTTGGAGAATCGCCTGCGCAAGACAGATCAGCGATAGAAACTTATCTGCAAGCTTGCGTTTGCAGCATCCTCAAATCATTAGCAGGAACAACGAGTTATTGATGAAGCAGTCTCAATCCTTGAGTGTAAGGTAGGACTGCATGCGTCGTGTGTGTGCGTCACAAGCTGACACAACTTTTCAGCCTAATAACCGTCTTGTCCAGCTACTGCGAAGCAAACTAACCTTTTAATTCCACGTAGCCCAGAACTGCTTTGCGTAACTCAGCTTTCGACAAGGTTTGTTTCAAGAGTGACCTAATCCTGTGTGACATAACCCCATACGACGCATTGCAGTGTTACGCAACAGGCAAGGCGTAAAAACGTGAAGTAGCGCCCACTGACAAACTTTCGTGCGATTCATAACCCATGTACGGTTTTCAGGCACCCCTCGTACCCAGAAGTGAAGCCGATCTATTATGAAATTCGTTCAATGGTCGACTCAAGGTACCCGTGAACCCCAAGCAATGTGGCATGTGTTATAGTATGTTGTTTAGGCGATGTGAACTGTGTTTTACGCTCCCTCCGCATCCAGGCTGGACCAGCAGCGGTTTAGAGAAAATAGATGGCATTTAAGGCGTAGTTTACACCAAGCATGGATGAGATAGAGAGATAAACCTATGTCGGTTTTTGTGGTATAAATACTTTGGAGAGGTTTGTGAAAGGCATGCATCAGTCACTTGGACCCTTTGTATGCTTTATTATTAGTTTTCAAAGTAACTTTATGGTGAAGCCAATAGCTAGTAAATAAGTAACTAACATTAGTCAATCGGTTCGAAAACGAAATGATTAGACATTAGTGGAATGCAAGTGAACCCTAATTGCATTCTATAATGTGTTGTGAAGCGTTTTGAGAATTTTTCGGGCATTTGTTAGAGCTAGCAGCTATAAATGTATTTGAGCATGAGCGAAGCTTTCATAAGCAAACGAACAATCTTTCAGTTGTCTCGCTTTTGGCTAAACGGACGTTTTTGTGATGCGTATTATCACGGGCTTTTTGATGGGCGGTATATGATTCCGATCAAGTTTTAAAAGGCAATATATCTCATTCAAAACTTTGGTGGTGGTGTAACTAACTTTGATTGTGAGATGTCAATTATATTTTAATGTATTAACAATAAATTTATGACTTAATATCACATTATTACAAATTTACTGGAAAACATATGAAGTTTCTTGGGTTACACCATACCAGAATAGGCAATTGATGTAAAAATAAAATGGCTTCAAAACATCTAAAAAATGCAGTTAGTACAGTCTTGTATTGCAAAAGAAGTAATGTAAAAGAAGTCATGGATATTGTTGAAATTTGCAATGTATGTAGAGTCTTCGCAATTAGAACCAATGTTTGCCAATGTGATTACAGCCACTTTTCCAATTGTGATCTTGCTGGAACGCACTGGTGCCACTTCCTAGACTGCGCCGATCACAGTGCGCCAATGCACGTCACGGAGTGGCTATTCCTGCCCCGTAGAGCGCCGTGGCTTAATTACCAATTGATTACGGTCGTCCGGCAAAAAGGCTAACTCAATTAGGACGCCAATCTATTTTCCATGCCGTGAGTGTGAGGTCTGATTCGACGTGGATCGGTGTGCAGAGTGCTGGAGCAGGGAGAGAGAAGGAGGGACGGAGGCAGAGGGGAAGAGAGACGGACAGATAGAGGACAGAAAAGAGAAGAAGGGGAGTGGAGAGAGAGAGAAGGGAGGGGTTAAAAACAAGCAAATAGAAAGACAGACAGAGAAGAAATAGAGAGGTAGAGAAACAGAAAGGGAGAAGCGAGAAAAGAGAGTGGAAAGAGACAGACAGAGACGTAAGACAGAGAAGTAAGATGGGGAGAGATCACACGCGCTCCTGCGGCTGTTTCGAACGGCATAATCGCAGGCAGCGCCAGCGTCTCTCGTACTGCCTCTAGGTAGGCTGTGCCGCAACACATCGGCGCCCGGCGGCGCAGTCTACCTATTGCAGCGTCAGCGTATTGTCGAGAAGGAATTGAGTCAGACAGGTGCCCAAGTTAACTTCAGATGAAAAGGAAAATGTCATTTCACTCATGCGACGTTTTAAGTGGCTGAAAGTCGTCAGAAAGTTTTTTTTTGTCCCAATATATCTTCGGGAAGTGCGAGTATTCGAATTGTTTATCTGTCCATCAAAGCTGAAAACTGAGAGAAATGTCCATGAGAAATTAGGGGATAAGTAACGATTGCATGGCTTGTGTCCAGGGGAAAGTGATCTGAGTCCCCCACACTGACCCTGACTGACCTGACCCTGCTGCCAGGTCAATATCGTCCTACTATCGGTCTGCGGAACAGGAGAAGGACTACATCTGCACTATGGCCAAGGATAACGGCCTGCACACGTGTGAAAACCTGCCGCCCACAAAAATCGGCGGTAAGAAGCGGCGATAGAGGATAGATAGAGGCGATAGAGCTCAATGGTCATCGGCTTACTTTCTTTGCGCTTATGTGTCCACGTGTTTTATCTTATTGCTCTATTGTTCATTATTGTTATTCCATTTTTCATTGTCTGGCTTTGCAGCGTTCTTAGGCATGACATTCTTATATTTTTCATCTGCATCACTTATGATATTCTCAGGATGTCACTTAGCATTAGTGGTGTTAATTTCTAATATCCCATTAATGCCCATGGTACAGCTCACTGCACCATAATTGAGACTAACCAGAACGCAGGTTGAAACAGCCGTTGGACAAGCCATCGTGACCTTTTGCCTCGGCCAGCGTGGCAGGCAGACCATCACTATGCATGGAAACACCATCGGAATAGTTAGCGGTTTCTCAGTAAGCTTGTCCGCTGATGTGTCCAAGAATTTCAACCGGATCACAGGAGGTTTCCCAGGCTAACTCATTACTAACAAATAAAATTATTGGTATTGATGGTTTAAATCCTATTGATACTTAAGTTTTTTTTTTTAAAGTCGTTTTCTATGAACGTATGGCTGATATGATGAAGTATGCATTAGGTGCAAATTACTGCAGTTAGTTGTTGCTAGACACCATTTATCATTCGTGCGGACCGAAAGCCGGCATTACAAATGACCTAACGCCGATAGCTGTACTGACAGAACTATTCCAAAATATTGCTGACAGCCTTGCAAAAACCAAAAAGCGCACCGACAGAAAAATTATTCACCCAAACAACAAACAAAAGACAAAAATGCAACAATTTTATGCCCGCCTTTTCACTCAAATTACATACAAACATCTTTAACATTCCCCAGTCCTTCGATTTCTCTTAGTTCTTTGTGTCCATCTCGTGATCATACTATCCTATTACCATCCGAAGCAACAGCGCTGCGGGTCTGCCGTAGAAACATTCGCACACAGACCTGTACGGCTGAACCTCAGGGGACGACCAGCCCCGACCGACGCCGTCGGTCTCGACGAAATCGATGTACTGGCCGATGACCGGGACGTCGAATCCAATAATCGTTGGGGAGCGCATCTGGACAGTCGGGACCCTGTGACCGATTGGTTTGGGAATGACTTAAGAGTTGAAGACGGTAGGGAAGTGGATGGGGAAGGCTGGGGATAGTGTGGGGAGACTGAAGAGTGATTAGGAGTGCGAAAGAAGTGGCAAAGTGTTTGGAGAAGATTGTGGAAGGTTGAGGAGTCTAGAAGAGTGGATGAAGATGACTGGAAATAGATTGGGGAGGTGGGGGATTGGTCTGGGGGAAATTGGGGAGGGCGGTTTGCAAGCATTTGCAAGGTGGTTTGGTTGACGAGTGGTTGAATAAGGCTGGCAATGTAAGGAGCTCACTGGAACGTTGTGGGAAGTGGTCAGAAAGAGCTAAGAACAAGAGCAAACTTCGAGGAAAAGTTGTTTGAGTAGATTGGAGGGGTGGTCAAGGAGTTATTCGAAGAGAGGCGAAAAAAGCGGCGGGACCGGCCTGTACAGTTGGTGGTAAGCAAACAGTTTTGGAGTGGATAAAAACCTTCGTAGAGGATTGGAAAATGAAGGATTCTGGGATTTACATATTATTTGACCCAGGCGTTCCAGCATCTATCCTCATTCCGCACACCCGCTGCAGTGTTGTTGCACGACCCATGACTGTTTCGGCGAAAGGTCCCCGCAGAAGTGTCTGCGACACGCGAGGCTCCCATTAGAAAAAGAAACAGGTCGCTGTGTCTGATGGTGCCAGTCACACTCGCTATGATCACGTGATGTTGCGAATAAGCCGGACAGTCACACGCCCTGTAATCACATAATATGAGGTCCGTAATAAACTGTCCGTCATGGGGTGAGGTAGGCAAATATTCTTGGTCATGAAGGGAAATAGGAAAAAAGGAAAATGAGGAAGTTTATAAGGAAAAGGAAAATAAGGAAAATAAGCAGTGTTTATATAAACGATAATGTATTGATGATTTTAGTGAAGTGTCAATTGAATTTACTTTTCGAGAGCCAAGCTGCCAAGATCGCTCAACAACCCTGCCGATTCCCAAGCTTTGTTACTGACCATGCAAAATCAATGGAGTGCAACACTATCTTTTAGTGCCCATGTCTGAGGTTCATGCCTTATTCCCTTCTCATAAGTCCTCCTAGGCCATCTTTAGATGGCCCTTATTCGTCAAATATGAACACCACCCCCACAAGAAGCGCCTAAGAACACAATAAAACACTAAACTACGTCTCCCATCCGACGGTAGAGCGTTTCAAACAACCTCGATGATATCCGAACCCGAGAAAAACGTCTGATGACTGTCATAAAATCTCCGAAATCGTTCAACTGCTCGTGTTCGTGAAAGATACTGCGGGCGAAGATGAACGTTATCGCCAAAGAGCACGAGCAAAATGACTGTCCGAAGACGTTAGCAACATGTGCGATGGGACCGGAACGGTTTTGAGAAATTGTGGAGACCGAAATACGGGCTTTAAAGAAACTGAAGGGTAGTGGATGACATTCTGACAAAACTATGATGTTAAGGTTTGTTATTAAATAAACATGCATATTTTAGTTCCGAAAGATATATGTTGTGGTAGCGGTTGACGACGTTGCATCGTTTAACCTTGCTAGCAGTCAAGGGATATCATTAACATTATTTGAAACTGTCCGCTTTTTTAGTTCTTCACAATGTGAAAGGGAACGTGAACTATTATCGCATTAAATGTTTCCATTATCTGGCAATAATTCAACGGGAAATCGATTTATCAATTTCTTTGAAATGAGTGTGGCAAATAAAACCCTCGCAGAGACGTTTACATAGTAGAATTACTGACATTTTAGTGTCATAACATGAAGTCCTCCGAAGCAGAAGCTTGCAATTTTTCATTAGTTTAGAGTGGAAAAGTCAGCAATACTCGTTGTCGTCATGGCAGTATGCTATTTTCGTACACCATCAGCCGGCTAAGATTCCATTCCTCCACAGTTGAGGCAGCAGCCATGAAGATCTAGTCTTATATTATACGTCAGATCGTCGCGCGATGTCGCCCGTAAATCCTTCCCAACTGAAACTCAGTCATCGTGAGAATCCTTCAAACTAGCTCCTCTCGTTATCAACTGAGAACCATGAAAATGTCTGAGTATAATCATGAAAGTTAGTAACTGATTTAGTTGCTGACTTGAGCTGATTGAAGATTATAAAGGCTGGAAATAGTTATTTTAAAACTTAGAAGAATGTTATGGGGGTGATTTACTGGGAGTGTCTGCTATTTGGTTTATGAAATTGTTCGTGAAAATTGTGAACAACTGTCGCTTAGTTATCCGTCAATAAATTTTTTCAAAGGCACCAAATTATCCATTTCCCATGCTCAGACATCGTATGCCCCATGTCCGACCCCTACTTTTTCGCACATATGTGGATTTATCATAACACTTGTGAAGTCAGCTTCGCCTAACGCGCTTCCTACATCATGTGGTTTCTTTTCGGCATATAATGAATTAATTTTGAATCTCTTCTCTATTTTTCCCTTTTCTCCTTCTCTCCCGAGTAGTTCCTGCATCAGGTGGCTTTCATCTGGCATATAAATGATTTTTCAACTCCTTTTCTACCGCAGATCTGGAGTGCACCGAGCCGGCCCGACCCAACAGTCCCAACTTACCGACAAACACCTCTTGTGTCAACTGGAACCAGTACTACACCGAGTGTCGTGCCGGCGACAAGAATCCCTTCCAGGGCGCCATGTCGTTCGATAACATTGGCCTCGCCTGGGTCGCCATCTTCCTGGTGAGATTTTCAGCGAGCTCGTGGATAAGTTGGATAGGTTGTAGTTTGCTCGTGATGGTTCTTGATGTGAAGAGGTTTTGGGAGAGAAATTGGTCTGTCCCATGGAGTAACTGCTCCTTGTCTTAGTGAAATTATCGACTTGCAGCGCTATCAAATGTTGTGTTATATTTGTACCTTGGCTGCATGCACCGGTATCCATGTTGCTTATTGGACCAACATTCAATCATCATTTTAATCGGTCTGCAATTGACACAAACTGCGCATTGAAAGCAATGACAAGAGGCAATCTAGGAAATCGTAGCTTTCAACTTCATTGTACACTTTCATTCGCCGAACACATAAACAAACACCTGTCCCTTTCACCAGTATTTCACCCTGCCCCTCGCCTGCACCCTTGCAGCACCTGTAGATCCGTGTTCACTGGTCAAGTAAATGCGGTGTTGTATGCTTTCAGGTCATTAGCTTAGAAGGCTGGACGGATATTATGTACTACATACAAGACGCGCACAGCTTCTGGGACTTCATCTACTTCGTACTACTCATTGTCGTAAGTTCTTCACGTCAATCGGCAGGGGTTTGCTCGGAGTTTGCAATCATTCCAGGAAAATAATGCTAGCTGTCAGCTACGATAATTCCACGAATTTGCTTCTTTGGATGGTTTGTTGTTGATCAGTGGGGTATGAGTGTGATTCCGTTTATTTTTTCTATGCCCCCCCCCCCCCCCATACCCGACACTCATCCCCAAGTTATCGATGCCATCAATTGATTCCTACATCAATTACTGTGATGCGATTGTCCGTAAGTGACATCCTCAAGTACGAGACATCCTAGTTGACTGTCTCGGCTATTTGTGGCCAAATGGCGTTCTCGTGTCGCTCATTATGTGATCTGACAGCCGAAATACAGACCCATTTTGTGCCGTCTTGGAAGAATGACACATGACGTAGGTTTAATGATTGGGAACGTGTATCATATTTCGCATTGGTTAGACTCGTTCAGATTGTGTTGTTTTTGCTTTCAGATGTTAAATGTTAAATAAATTAAATGTTAAATGTGTAGATGTTCACTGTCTTTTTTTAGCATTTGTTGTGCTTGGACTCTGAATAGTATAGTAACACGAAATTCAGACATGCATACCATGCCCATTTTATAACCCAATGTGCTCACTAGCTTCGACTTGAGCCTTTCGTATCTTAAACAGGTATTTTCCACACAAGCGTTAAAACAGTCTCAGGCCCTTGAACTGCGTTCTACACAGGAAAAGCGCATTCCACTTTTATTTTTGTATCTGCGACTGAAGAAGCTACGGTCAAATCAGGGCTTCCAGCAAACGCATCATTAGGCTCAGCTTGCTCGGACTTAGGTACAAGACTTACCGCCGTTACATTGCTTCGATCAATAGTCCACAAATAGTTTACCCTAGATGTTCCGCCGTCGGGGATCGTGCACCGTTCACGGGTCCCATCAAGATAAGACGGTGCTTCAGATCACATTACGAGTATTGACGTCGTGATGTTAGTGCCAAATTGAGTATACTTGGGAGGCGGTGCTGGTAATGAAATTATCGAGCGGCGTCAGTTTGAAATGTCACCGGCAATCAATTGATGGATGAACAGTGGATCTGTCAATAGACAATGACTCGCTAACATGTGCGGAATTGCGGACAAGCGAGACGTCGGCAGATACGACCTTTGTTGAATACGGCCGTCCTTATAAGGTCTCTTGATGGATTCAATCTGTGGTCTTCACAATTTTTCGACCCATCACATGCAGCAGAGCATCACAATGCATCACAATACCAGCACACAACACACAAAATAATGAACAATAGCAGGCGCACATCCGCAACACATACGCAGAGCATTGCTCACCAAACAGCACAACCAGTGGAATCATCAGAACGTGGCGTATACTAGTTGACGGTCCTCTCTCCGGCAGATCGGAGCGTTCTTCATGATCAACCTCTGCCTGGTCGTCATCGCTACGCAGTTCTCCGAGACGAAGAAGCGAGAAACAGAACGGATGCGGCTAGAGCGTGCCCGATTCCAGAGCACCTCCACTCTGGGGAGCTCTCTGGAGAACGCCGGCTGCTACGCTGAAATCCTGCGCTACGTCGCTCACCTCTGGAGGAGACTACGAAGGAAACTGCGCTATCGCTGGCGACGAATAAGGCGCAAGCCACCATCACGCTTTAGTCTGCGTCGGCGACGACGTGGTGATGACGGACAAGAGTGTAGTCATGATCACCCTCGACGGGACTATCGTCGTGGGCGAGTGGTGCGTGGTGAGGACCCAGAGAGTGGGCGCAACAATAATAACTTTTTCTGTGATAGAAAGGTGGACGAGTGGGCTCCTCAGGCCAGTCCGGAGGTTTCTGATGTGGACCCGCTGTCCACGCCGCGTAGGCCGGATGGGGAGATGCCTACGGGGTCCGGCGCGTTGATGCCTGTGGGACTTGGTGAACCGGATAGTTCAGACTGCGAGCGAGGTCTGGATAGTCATCTCCTCCCTCCAGGGATTCTCTGCAGTCGCCTGTCGCCTGACACCGGCCGGCCGCCCGAGAGACGAGCCAAGAGTGTCAGCTACGACGTCAACAAGCCAGTCATCATACCCATCCAGAGGTTGGCCGCAGGTGGTGAAGGCGATGTCGTAGAGACTGTCCCACCGCAGTTGCGGGCGGAACTATCGCGGGCTGAGTCACAGCTGCGAAAACTGCGGAGCTCTGTGTTCCCCCGTGTGTGTCGTTCGGCTGATCGCGGTCCGCTCAGCTGCACTGAACTCCTCGCTATCAGTGGAGCGTTGAGTGCAGCTCTTCCCGCGCAGTTAGCGCAAGTACCTCTACGACATTCGAGTCAGCAGCTTCCTTCCGCGCTGGCAGGAGTCACGGGAGGCCCGGTGACAACTCGACAGCTCTCTGAACCAGCGCTACCGGGACTCGGGTCTCCGCCACTGGACTCTGCGCGAACCGCGAGTGACGCGAGCTGGAGCGGGGACTCGGAGGACTCGTGTTCCTCTGATGAGGAGGACTACTCCGATGAGGACTGTGAGGAATACTGGTCGGAGTATGAGGACGACGAACCTCGCACGCCGCGATGTCCTCGAGTTCGCGCTGTGCTAAGGTGGATTCGAGCGAGTGTCAAACGCTTTATCGAACACTCATACACACAGAAGGGCATACTTTTAGCGATCATGATCAACACACTGAGCATGGGTGTTGAGTACCACAACCAGCCGCCATGGCTGACAACGCTGGTAGAGACGAGCAATATCGTGTTCTCAGCGGTGTTTGCGCTGGAGATGATGCTGAAGTTGATCGCAGACGGGTTTTACGGCTACATCCGCAACGGCTTCAACGTGTTCGACGGCCTGATCGTCATCATCAGGTGAGTCCGCTCTGAAGAGCGAAAAGTCGAGAGGGGATAGAGGACGTAACATTTTAAAATTCCTCATTACCGTCATATGCCATGCCCAGTTAAAACGACCATTTTGGTTCTATCTCGTATTGTAATTGATATTCGCTTATTCACAAGTTGCGCAGTGAGTATCGTTGGCTGTGTCTTCTCTTTGCAGGTCTGCTTGTGCGATGCTCTTGCCTCCGATCGTTCTTAGCAAAAAAAAAAAAAAAATAGACGCCTTACTGGTGTGCAATGTGCGTGTGCTTTTCTGTTAACAATTTTCTTCTTTTTTACATATATGCGCGTCTGATTGTTTACACCTGCCTTTCTCCGCTGTCTCACATTACATTTCCTTACTCTGCCTCTGTGCCAAGACTGTCCCAGCACAGTCCTCTTTGCCGTGGGACCGTGCCCGCTAGCCCAGCCTGCTCTTCTCCGAGACACAAAACCCCGGCTCCACAGCCCTGTTGGCGCGTGATGGAGGGCCTGTCTGGACAGAAGGCTCGGAAGAGACACCGCCCCCCCCCCTCTCTCTCTCTCTCTCTCTCTCTCTCTCTCTCTCTCTCTCTCTCTCTCTCTGTCCCTCTGTCCCTCTCTCTCTCTCTCTTTTCTCTCTCTCTCTCTCTCTCTTTTCTCTCTCTCTCTTCTCTCTCTCTTCTCTCTCTCTCCTCTCTCTCTCTCTCTCCCTCTCTCTCCCTCTCCCTCTCCCTCTCTCTCCTCTCTCTCTGTCTCTCTCTTGCTCACACACTCTGTGTTATGGCTCTCCTTTCTGCCTCTCCTAGACTTGCATTTTTTCACCCGTTTCTGCGTTGGGTCTGGCTCCAAACGGAAGAATAAGTGGTGATGAAAAATGGACGGCAAACGACCGTAAAGACTGATCAGTTTATGGTGTTGTCGAATTCCAGAGAGGTTTCCGAATGGCCGATCTATATTTTATTCGTTGGAATAAATTTTACTCTTCACTATCATTGCCATTTTCACTAAGACTGTTATTTTATCGCGAACTCTTTTGAATGTTAAAGATTCTTTTCAGGCGTGCCCATTGTCGATTATACCTGTTCCAGTGCCGTGTCTCTGTGTAACTCTCAGCTTTGCAGCCTGTTAGTGAGCTGTGGATACTATTTACGCCGCCTATTTCAGCATCGTGGACGTGAATTTGTGCACAAATAACTGCTCCTTTCCTTATGTGCAAGGTGCCTTCACTATTGACCACCCCTCCTGTTTCAATACCGTGGACGGAAGAGCTATAAAAAAAAAACAGAGCCCCTGTCTATGTATGTCGTTAGAGCCCTGACTCTAACGATAGAACGTCCTCACTGTTGACTGCTACCACTTGTTTCAGTGCCGTGGACCTGTACAAATCCCAGTTTAGCACCACTGGCAGCGAGGGCGGGTCCAGTCTCTCCGTGCTGAGAACTTTCCGACTACTACGCATCCTGAAGCTGGTCCGATTTCTGCCAAACCTTCGACGTCAACTCCTGGTCATGTTGAAGACAATGGACAACGTAGCCATCTTCTTCTCGCTTCTCATCCTCTTCATTTTCATCTTCAGGTACGGTTGCACTGCTTGCGGTTGTTAGTGTGTGATGGGATGTACGCGCGAGTATAGTGCTGCTTTCTTATTGTCAGAGCTATCCCGTCTTTCCCGTCGGCTACTGTACGCTGTGGGTTCGTGTTTAAAAATGATGCACTTGTTGTTTTGAAATGTAATTATACAATGTTCCACTACATACATGCGACAAGCATTTGACATACCCAAAACATTGATTTTTCAATTATGCTGTTTCAAAATTCAAAGTTAATTTCAATATCCAGTGTATCAACGTTTCGATCAGGTACAATTGGTTTAGGGCCGCACACAGTTAGCACCACAAAACATTAGATTCCTCTTTGCACTTACAAGTCTCTCGGGGTGACATGCTCTCTCACTCACTCTATCTCCATCTCTCTTCTTCACCTCCCTGCTCTCTCTCTCTCTCCCTCTGTCTCCTCACTTTGTGTGCCCCGGTCCCTCTGCCTCTTGGAGAGTTTGTTAGCTCTTTTGCTCAAATTCTCACACCTCCGTGGGTTCACCCTACCATTGTCCGTCTAACCACCACCACGCATGTGTGACTTCCCCATTTTCACTGCTTCATCCCCAATAACAGACGTGTGCCACATGTGACCACGTGATCTGAGGTCATGTGACCACCGGAGGTCACGTGACCCGGATGGGGTCAAAAGAGATGCTAGTTTTTACCACATTTTAGACCACGTTATCGCATTTTGAAGATTTTCTAATCAGCACATATGCTTGAGCGTACAACGGCACTTTGCAAATTGATTTGCGCTATGTTTTTACTTATTTATGACGTGTGTTGAATAAGTTACTGCCAAAGGAACGCCTGATCGCGCGCTATCTCAAAATGCTTAGCGCGCAATGTCCACCTTTTTGGACATCTTGCACCATCGCTGCTTTTGCTGAGCACGTCAGAAAAAGTTGAATAATGAACTAGGGATGGACGATAAAATTTAGCACTTAGCAATTGGAAAAAGATTTATCAAACTACACGCAGCGTTGCAAAAAGCGCTGTCAGGCGGTATCCAAATTCTTGCCACAGGCAGACGCAAAGGCTAACAAATGAGACACGAGCTCAAGACCTTGGCCTAACGGGAGGGTGCTGATAATAATGCTGTCTGACTCAAGATATTCCTACCTTCACTTCGTTTCAAAATTAATCATCGCTTGTTATCTCTTCCACCCTCCAATGCTCGTATTCCTTGCTTTTGTAAAAGCTGAGCAATACTGAAGGCAGGACTCGGGACTCATAATTTTTCCTAAGCGGAATATTTTCCTAACATCTCGAGACGTTTTCATGCTCGAGTATTTCTTCAGTGCATTTCATGTTGCCACACTTCTCGAAAATGGCTTAACAATATCGGAGCTGCATATAGCACCGACAATGGTTAAGGCTTTTTCAGTCTGCATCATGCATACTGTTGTTTAAAGGATGGATATTCCTTATCGACGACAATATTTTCTTCTTCCTTCGGGACAACAGCTCTCTATCAACATTTAAAAAGAGAAGTGAGCCAGCTTCGGCAATTCTGTCTGCATAAGCATAATCAATACGGCGGCGAAGGACTGTAAAATCTGCATTGCAAAAAGGAAATAGAATTACAGACGCAAGAAAACAAATGAAAGTTGTCAGCATCATGCATGATAAGACCACCGTTTTGGTTTGAAATACATGTACCTTGTATTAAGTTTGAGGTCGTTCTGATATTCACAAACAAAACATTGCGTTTATCATACGAGTACCTATATCACTACCAGTAAAAATTTTCCCGAATGAGAAGCTAGTCATTTCCCCTACTCAAAATTATAAGGTGTTGCTGTCAAATATAGAGTTCTAGACTATATTGCATAATAGTTGACAAGTGCCGCGGCATTATTGATGGCATATTGTTCGTAAAAAAAAAAACATTTAAAGCTACACTGACATCACCTTTATCCTACGCAACAACGTCTTCTGTAGCCGTTGTAGTCACAGCAAGTTTTTGACACAACCAGTAAAACGACTTTGCATTTCGATTTCTGTTGCAGTATTCTGGGCATGAACCTGTTTGGGTGTAGGTTCTGTAGGAAAGACGACAAAGGCAAAACAAGCTGCGACCGAAAAAACTTCGACTCTTTGCTGTGGGCGTGCATCACAGTTTTCCAGGTACATTAAAAACGCCGGGCTCGAGCGATTTGCCGTTGGAACAGTCCAGTCTTGACCGGTCTGTGAAATGTTTAGAAATGACCATTGATGTGTCTTCTCTTGAAGAACAGTCAGTCCATTCCTAACTAGGCGTGTCTCTCTGTTGGCTAAATCGTTCTCGAATGGTCCTCAAATCATGTTGAAATTGAGCGACTCACCTCTTTTCCCATACATGGGGCGAGTCTATTAAGCCAGGTTGGAAAGTCACATCCCAAAATGGACTGTTCCTTCGACATTGCGTTCGTAGCTCGCCATGTAAATAGGCTCAGTCGTGCAGCACGCAGCTATGATACCGTAAATGCACTAGCTAAAGCGTGGCGAATGTAAAGGCAGCGCTACAGCGCCAGCAGCATGCACGTAAATGGAAAAACGCGCGTGTCAAAGCGGCTAGCAGTCGAGCTAAGCATACGACAGGTAAGTAGCAGGCTATTGGTCATTGTTTCTATGCTGTCACCTGGATGCATGATTGTTGCATGGAGCCTGTTCCTGTCTTGCATGATCTCTGTTTGCTGATTAGCATCCCCTAAACGAACATGTCACCCCTGCGAGCGTGAACAGATAATAAATCAGCCGTAAATCCAGCATCCGCGAACAACACACCAGTCGGTTTTGTCTAAAACGCTCCACTAATGCGCCCACCGAAACGGAACATATGATGGCAAAATTTCATCTTCCCTGTGGGAAATTTAATCATGGAAATCAGCCCTATTTTCAACAAGTGAACGAAAGAAATATTTTCTCAGCAGAATCCCGAACCACGTCGGTTTCCCATTATGACGAGGGCATTGGCCTGGCTGTTTTGCGTTTAAAGCTCGCTTCTGAGTGCCGCTGGGATGGAAACAAACTGCCATGTCGGAACGGCGGGCCGTTGTGAAAATTAGCCGCGGACAAAAAGAGTCCCAGCGTGCGGCGTCTTTTTCCAATCATGCAGTGGGTTTGAGCTAGCGGCGGTCGTTGGCAGCAGAGCAGTTCAAACGGGAGCCTCGAGATCCGCAAGGCCGGTTCTGAATTGGCAATACACTGTCTTGATAGTGGTCATACTTCAACTCGATGACGAAACTCCACAACAGAAATCATTCCAGACTTCCTATGGTAGTTTTCCACGAGTTCAAGGCCATTCTTCTCCTAGAGCAGACGAACTCACTCAAAGGTGAAGAGAGGGAGAAAAGAACTGACTGACATTTGCCACTTGACTCTGAATTTACATTAGCTACCAAGTACAATAATTAAAAAAGGACTAATATTATGGCCATAAGAGTTGAAGATGAGATCCCACAAGACACGCATAACATATTGCCGCCTGCCAACCTACAAATACAATCGACCTAAGCCAGTGGCGACCATTTAATCGTCTACAAAGAGCATCCACTCAGCCTAGTGGCCGCGGACGAACCCCAGGGCGGACCCCATTTATTTCCCGTGACAATAGAACACGGCAGAGCGACAGAGCGAGCTGTCCAGCACGGGTCAACCCAATACTCAGCCTGAGCAAAGTCAGCTTCTGAAGAGGAAAAACAGCGCACAAAGCCGTTTAGCTGTTTGAAGCCGAATAACGTAGTTAGGCGAGGGGTAGTGGAAACGAACGCGGAGCACGGTTTCGGGGCGCTGCTGTAAAAGTTTGTCGAGCTCGTTTGGTGACTGGAACAAATCGTACAAGTGGCGCTAAGGTTGCTACTTGAGTCGTGATCAGCGTTGGAGTGACGTTTTATGAGCGTACGTTTCATTAGCGTTGCTTATTGGGGATTGTAAATTGACTGCGAAGAAAAATTGATGCGCATTTATGAATATTTCGCGAAGGATCAAGCCAATCAATATGCTTTTCATATCGTCATTCTACCGTATTTATTTTAGGTGTAAACTTTGCTGTAAAAAATGCGAACCGACGTTAGTTAGATGCAACATCTATCGTAAGCAATATGAATGAAATTATAAACCAGTAAAACGCCTTTTGGGCGAAGAACGAGCGAGCGAGATAGTACCTAAGCCCTGCACGTGCAGAAGGGCGAGAGGGTACTTCCAACGGGCTTGTGCAAAGCACCCTTCTAACCGGTCGCTAGCGATGTACCAAATTTGAACGCAATCGGCCCAGCCGTTCCTGAGATCTGGAAGCGGCATTCTGCACGTGCGCACGTGCAAACGGGGTCCAAAATGACTTTTGCACGGCACCCTACTAACCGGTCCCCAACCGTGTACCAAATTTGAGCGCAATCGGCCCAGCCGTTCTCGAGATCTGGAAACGCCCCCTGCACGTGCGCACGTGCAGTAGCACCCTAATCGCAACACATGGGAATGCATTGCCTGGTGGGTGCCTACCTGTATGCCAAGTTCCAGCAAAATCGCCCCAGTAATTACCGAGTTACTGAAATGGGAACAAATTTAGCACCTCTTATTGTTGTATTTTGCACGTGCAGTGGGGGTCACTCACATAGATCAAGAATATCCGACCTTTGGTAGAAGGGATGCAGCTACCCTATAAAAATGACCGCAAGACAATCGCTCAAGCCGCTGCTGAGATATGGGCCTCTCAAAATCATTACTTTTGCAAAACTGCTTGAACACCCTTGACTTTTCACGTGGCACGTGCCACGGCGGTCACTGAGATGTATCAAAAGTAGTCAATTACGGGGTAGAAGGGATGGGGCTACCCAGCAAAAAAGACCGCAGGCCAATCGGTCCAGCGGTTGCTGAGATATAAGCCTCTCAAAAGCGTTACAGGCCGGGCCGGGCCGGGCCGGGCCGGGCCGGGCTGGGCCGGGCCGGGCCGGGCCGCTCATACTGAGATTTTTCCGTTATATTGAAAAGACTCACTTCGCTCGCTGCGCTCGCTCGCTCGTAATGAACATTGTAGTAAATCATAAATACATGATAATATCTGGAATATGTTAACATCAGCGTGTCGTTATTTCAGTGAACTCTTTTACAGTTCGGGTAGCTTTTGTCTCGTTCCATGAGCGTCACTCAGCGCTCATCTCAGGCCCATAGCCTCGCAATCACGACCGAATCGCAATCGATGTCGAGAATCCTTCAAACGCCGTGAAAAGATGTTAAGTGGGCGACCCGATCTCTCGAACGTGGCGGAGGACGGTTGAGAGAGGCTCTTTCCTGGAAGGAGCGTGCTCAACAGGTGCCTGGGCATTGGAGGCTTGGAGAAATGTTCCCAGAAATGGTGCACTCGCTGTAAAAATTGTAGTTGAGTGGTGGATATGAAATATGAGATACGGACAGTGCTGACAAAATTGTGGGCTTTAAAGCATTCAGCATTTGTGATTCTTAATTTGACTTATGAAATAGCAGTTATTATTAACAATTTCGTCATAAAAGCAGCCTTTGGAATTTGGATATCGAGATGAACGCATAATTTGCACGCATTCTTTTTGACTCTTGTGGCTCAGTGACTGAAATCTATGTCTCGATTTAGAGGAAAATAAATTTGAGAATTGTAATCTTGACAACTTTGAAGATATGGGAAGATACGATGACAAAACATCGTAAGAATATTCAAGTTCAGCTGTCGTAATTCATTGCATTTTTATGTGCTCACAAATCCCGGGAATGATTTACAGTCCGTGAGCTTGGAAGCGCCATGGGCCGTTTCAGGCAGACTCAATTCAGATGGACTGAAATACTGTGGACGACTACATGGCTGTTGGATCTGAAGTCTATGCCACTCTCTCTCTCTCTCTCTCTCTCTCTCTCTCTCTCTCTCTCTCTCTCTCTCTCTCTCTCTCTCTCTCTCTCTCTCTCTCTTCTCCCCTTCCCTCTCTCTCTCTGTTCTATTCATGTTTCTTTCTTTGTCTCTTTCGGACATTCAGCTCAGCCCTCATTCGCAACTATCCTGATTATCAGTGATTAACAAACAGTGATTAATACATAGTAACAAATGACGTATGGTGTCGGATGCTGAACAACTCTCTCATGGTTCATGAAACTGTGTGACTAAATTATCATTTAATATTTGTATGCCTGTTTCAATCGACACGTAATGCAAAACTATACTTCGAGTATACCGTAAGGACTGAATGCCAAATGTGACTAAACTAAATCCTTCTCTTTTCGGCATAAGTATGAACTCCATTTCATGGCGGCTCGGTCTTGGGCTTAGCTAATGAAATTGTGGGCTTGACTGAGGGAATATACAGTACACGTCACAACGCCACCATATCCTACATTGCACTACTACGCATCACAGTGTGTCACTCCATGGCACAATGCGCCGCCAAACGTTACATGGTGCGCCAATTCCATGGCTCAATGTGCCTTTACGCTTCACAGTGCACTAATATACATCACAGTACGCCATCAAATGCCACAGTACGTCACTCCACGTCACACAGCGCCACCAAATGCCACAGTGCGCCACTCTATGGCTCACTGCGCCTCTATACGTCGCAATGCGCCACCAAATGCCACACAGCGCCACCAAATGCCACACAGCGCCACCAAATGCCACAGTGCGCCACTCTATGGCTCACTGCGCCTCTATACGTCGCAATGCGCCACCAAATGTCACACAGCGCCACCAAATGCCACACAGCGCCACCAAATGCCACAGTGCGCCACCCCACGGCTCACTGCGCCTCTATACGTCGCAATGCGCCACCAAATGCCACAGTGCGCCTCACCACGGCTCACACCAGCTCCGGTGCGCCATTCCATGTCTGCTGGCAGTGTGCTCGGTATGATATTGTTCGGAGGGAAGTTTTGTATGCGCCGGGACGGCACGGGACCTTGTGAGTGCCGTCGCCTGCACGACATGGATCCAAACTGCATTTGCCAGCGCAAAAACTTCGACAACTTCCTCTGGTCTACCGTCACCGTTTTTCAGGTAATTTATGACGTCATATTACTGACTTTATGACGTCATAGTGGTATTGGGGCTTACGAACTAGTTGACTTGTAGGTCATTTGAGAATGTGGGGAAGAGGGAGGGATTATTTGAATATATGGGGAGATCAGCAGGGGTATTTCGTTCGCTGTTTATGAAAATGATTGATTTTCTCTTCGTGGTTATTACAACTGTAAGACCACGGCCATGAGTAACTACAAACTACAGTGTGCATTGATCGAGTCCTCTATTTTTAGTTAGAAACGGTCATCGCATGACGAACAATGGTGCATCATCGCGTGCTCAGGCGCCTAAAATCAATAATTACTTTACCTCATACTATTACATCAGCTCTAGCATTCGTCGTAAAAATAGACGTCGCTCTATTGATGACAGTCTTCCTAAGGTCACGACAAAATCGTATTACAGATGCCTTACATTAACATCGAGATATAAAGAAGCACGTTGTTGAAATGTAGAAGATTATTTGCAGCTACATAAACGTTGCTATTGTATTTTAGAAATGTGTTGTGTATAAAGGAGATGATATTGACGTAATGTAAAAAGCATGCCTGTAACTCAGAGCCTGATGAATGAACGCTGTATTGTGTTGTGGTGTCTGTGATGCATGGCCTCTGTGTTACGAAAAAGTAGAAATGCCGACATGTATTATCACACATTGGTGTAACGAAACATAACGTAGAGTCGTATTTACTTTGTGTTCTTAGGAAAACAATCAAGCTAGTGTCACTAAAAACATACTTAGAAGTATAAATAACTCCGTAGTATTTGGAACACGTTCCACTCTCGCAATTCATTTAACTTAATTTAGCATTTTTCTCATCTCGAGTTTTTCGTATGTCAAAACCCCATTGTAGCCGCATGACCATTGGTTCACCCCTCGATGACCTCAATGACCTCTTACTGACCTTTGACCTGTCTCGGGCGCCGACCGGCCCGCTAGATTTTAACACAGGAGGACTGGAACGTGGTTCTGTTCAACGGCATGGAGAGGACCTCTCCGTGGGCGGCGCTCTATTTTGTGGCGCTGATGACGTTCGGAAACTACGTTCTCTTCAACCTTCTGGTCGCCATCTTGGTGGAGGGTTTCTCTTCAGAGGTGAGAAGTGTGGGAAGGAGGGAAGGGATGTGAAGTGACGAGAGAGAGAGAGAGAGAGAGAGAGAGAGAGAGAGAGAGAGAGAGAGAGAGAGAGAGAGAGAGAGAGAGAGGTGCGGTGTTTGTGTAACGTGTCAGTCTGTACATACATAATCGGAGAGCTGTTCGAATGTGCATTGTGCATGATTCTGCATCATTTTGTGAGATAAGTCAATTAGAAGCAAGCTTAGTACGTGAATACCAGCGTGCAATTAACACATTTATCTATATCGTTATTGCTAGGGACAATATTCCAAGCACTTGACTAAGGTATTTTTTAGATGTTCAAAAATATGTGTCTGATAGGTCTAATCCTCAATCGGCTGGGATGTCTCTAACTGGTAGGCTTTGAGCACTTTTCTGTCAGTGTTCAGTCACGACACCAAAACTGTCGTGTTCAACACAGCTGCGGTTTGGACGAATAGAGAATGGCTCCCAAAAATAGCCCGCCAGTGAAGTTCAACACTACCTTATCGGAAGAACGCTGAGGCCTCCAAATCTAGAAGAAGCTATATATTGAAGTTATATATCCCAAGCTTCTAAAACCTTATATTGAAGCTAAGATGCCGTTTCATTTTAAACCCGCCTTACTAAATATTTAGTGTTATACAGTTGATGCGTAAAAGGTTTTGACATAATACATTCGTAGCTCTGTATTGACAAGCGGCTTTATCGTGTGTCAAACAAAATAAAACGTTCAGAAATATGATTGACAAATAGCGTAAAAATATTTCAAATAATGCTTATTCCAATTTGATATACTGCTCCGGTTTTTCTCTTTCAAATGCCTTATTCTATTTTCATTTCGTCTCGTCCATTTTCCGGGCTCCAGCGGGCCTGATCTGACCCAGCCCAGGCCATGTCAGGGGCAGCTGAACATTTCGTCCCGCCAGATAGACCATCTAGTCGCGCGCGACGCCACACCGAATGGAAATCGATTGCTCGTCAAACTTATCGGGCAAGAGATGGAAATAGAACGGCCACGCAAACGTGCGATGAAAAATTTACAACCTCTGATGCGAGTGGAGAGAATGTAGCTAGAGAGGATTTCCAAAGTCAGCTTGTCGGCCATGCTAAAGCTGGCTATTGTCTCAGTTTTGATAACATTTGGAGACAGTGGTTATGCTCTTCATATATGAATTACTGTGCGTGTTTATAGTGGCCGTTGTAGTTAAGGACTCGAAAATACATCACGCTATGCTGGTTTTATAGGAGAAAACTGCTCATCTAGCCTTTAAAATGTGACCCGTCCATGAACATAACTTAAATGAAACAAAACTTAAAGGGACACTCCCACCTTAACATTAGTTTTGAGTTGAGATAGCCAAATTGGTGGCCATGGCCTGCAAATACCGGTTTGGGCACTCACAACCAGTGTTCGCCACGGGCCGCAAAATCCTAGTCCAGCCCAGCCCAGGCCCATGAGTTCACAGCCCGGCCCAGCCCGAGCCCATTCATGGTAAAAGCGTCAAAGCCCAGCCCGGCCCAGCCCGTCAAAAATGAATGGGTTAAAAATTATTGACACCGCACAGGTACCCAAAGGTAGCAAAGAAACAATATTTTGCGAGCAGCATGCACAATGCGCATTTCATGCGTGCTATTAACTCGTTTTTTGAGTCTTGCACAGTAATAAGCTATGTAGTTATAGTTTTTGTCTCAGTTGCGAACCCCTGACTCCACTTAACAGTTCATGGCCCAGCCCATCCACAGCCCATCGATCCTTCATATTTGAGGGCCCAGCCCAGCCCGTAGCCCAGCCCAGCCCATGGCCCATTGGGCTGGCCCGGCCCATGGCGAACACTGCTCACAACATCGACAAATGCTTTAATTCGGAGATATGGAATTTCAAACTTGCAGTTTTCGGATTCTAAGGGGCTAGTGCATTGGTATGCCCCCTTAGAATTTGTGACGTCAGCGGAGATCTAACGATTTTTAAATCTTTTACTAAAACGTTTGGTATCACGCGGTGGTATATGCTGCTTTGCGCGCAACAAATGCCGCACTTTCAAATAAAGTCGCTAGGAACAGCGGAGATCCCAAAAAGTAAACAAAAGTAAAAGTCTAATATCTTGAAAACCGGTGAATATTTTTCGATGAAATTTGGTAGATATTCGTTTTCGCTCTTTCTGAACCGAGCGACGTCACTTTCGTGCCAATTCATTAACCTTTTTGAAGGTGGGAGGGTCCCTTTAACTCATGGAATTGTTGCTACGAATATGGCTAATAACAGAGACGATGAGATTTTAGGACCATTTAAGATATCTCATCAGTCTAAAAAGCGAACATTAGCACAAGCTGACCCATTTTTTAATAGACCCATTGTTTCGAAGAATAAATGCATATTTATCTACACTCTAAATACATTCATCACAACACAAATGTACGGCACCTTGTACTCATGGTTACCCACTGTGGGTACCAAACATGCTTGTAGCGTGTGCTCTATTGCTATAATAGTGAGCATTTTCGTTCTGCACTGTATACTATGTACCAACAGGCTTCTAGCTAGCTCGTGTCTGGCACTGGTAACATTTACCACGGTGTTACTCGTGTAGCCGCTAACGCTGCCAGCTGCCTAGCAATATTGCCACAGGCTACTAACTAGCTCGCCTGACACTGGTAACAATAACAATCTCGTCACTGATGTAGCTGCTTACACCGCCAGCAGCCTAGTACTGCACTGGTTAGTCTACACCCGTTTAACTCTGCCTAGTAAGTATACTATACTCTGTTCCGTTTCAAGTTTGCAGCCGAAGTGCCCTCCTGAAAGCAGTGCGTGATTTCTGTGTATACAGCTCTTACATTTTAAGACATAAATTTTTGAGCGGAAGAGCGATCTGCCGAAGAAACTCCGACTGCAAACTTGATATGGAACAGACTATAGCCAAGCTAGTGAACATACACCCCACTCCCGCTTCTCAAGCGTCACGAGCGGGCAGAGCGACAAGAGCGACGACAGCAGAGGGCGCTCCTCCGACGGCAGAGGGAGGCGGCACGCGAACAGGAAGAGCCGCCCCAGGTCTGACCTGACCTCGACCTGACCCTGTTACCACACGCGCCCGCATGATGACACCCGGACCCAGTCTGGACTGAGGTGTCCGTCTATTGTATGAGATCGCGGTCGTGTTTTTGTGACGTCATAGATACTGGATACTCCCAAAGTCGGCCTATCCTGAACCGAAGGTCATCACGCATGACACATATGACGTCATAGTTCAGATTATGTGACGTCACAAGGGCAGCTGACAGGTCGCACCGGCTCGTTGTTTTATTACCATTGGGGTTAGATGTTGGTGTCTTGTTTTTACTGTTTTTTTCGTACCCGCACAATATGACTGAATGACGTCACCGTTTATCTTGATGACGTCACTCACAATGATGCTCAATGTACAATGTCACTAGTGGTGTGCATGACGTCATGACACATGAAATCGGTGCATCGTTTTCATGTTTAGCAGAACGTTCGATGACTTGTGTTGCAAAAGTCCCAGCTCATATGTTGACCTAAAATGGCATCAGTCGTTTTCCTGTAACATTTATCGGTAAATGAAAATACTAACTGTGTTTGTAAAACGTTCTTTAGGCCTGTTGTGTTAATATTTTATAACCTTCTTGTTACTGTCCAGTGTCCACCCACATGTTTGCGACTGTCGTCTTAAGAAATCTATAGTTTATGTTACGGCACTTTGAATGCGTTGTGATTCGTCCCGAGTCCGACAGTTACTTTTATTTTCCCTAACATATAAGCAATTGCATATGCCATCAGCAAAGGACCTTTTGTGTCTACAAAGCATTTTGGAAGAAGATAAGCGAACGACTTTTTCTAAACAATGTAGACAACAATGGGAACAGGCCTAGATATTTTCAGCTAAAGGCATCCGAAGACGTTAACATTAAAGGCATGCCCTTTTATTTCCAATTAAATAATAACAATAAATCGCTTGTAACGCCCAGCCATAAAAAAATGCACAAATGCTCACAAAATCATCCGGCAACATCGATGTTTTGTCCTCTCTCCAAGAACGTAACTTTTACCGGTGATTAACGAATGTTGCCGGCCAGATCTAAGCATGAAATTGCAGCGTTGTTCCTTTTTTTGTAGAAGCTATGTAGAAACACACGCAACATAGCATAGTGTGTAGCCACCTAGGTAACATAACAAAACATTTAAACAAGTTACAAATTAGATCGTCTCCTTCGTTTAATGGGCCATAGGCGTTTCCCAACTAGGTACTACTGCTCAACTGTTCAATGCTCATGTAGTTTGCTTTGTTTCTCTAAGCTGAAAAGCATGCTCCTCATACATCCTTGTGAGCGAATATTTATTCAATATAAGATAAACTGAGCTTCCATCTGGCTCAGTGGCGAAAAACGACCATTGCTAATTTAGTTAAACGTCGAAGCAATAAAATCCGTCCTACCAGTGTTTGTGTTCTTTTTCCATTGCACCTGAACACCAAATGACTGTCAAGCTGTAGGTACATTTAGCGTACATGTACAGTAGGTACATGTACCCAAATTAGGCTTAGTACGTTCTGATACTTAGAGACATCAATGCACCGTGCGCACTTCTTAGGCATCCTAAACTATATCATGTTGTATAATTACCTACTTTAAACCTGGTTACTTGGTTAGTTTTTTATGCATCCTTGAATACCCGTATAAAGATTACTATCACGACACAGCACCTTGAGGGACTTGGCTCATGTGCAAGGCATCATGCATCTCTCTTTGAAAAGGAAGCACAAGTGCTGAAAAATAAAATAATGACACGTTTGTTGCTCTTACTATCCAGCCAGCCAACGGAAGGCACTCGGTAGGAGCGGTTTAGCTTCGACTTTATCCCTTTGCTCTATTCTCGTGACGATTTTACTTGGCTTGCGAATGTGAATTCCTGATATATATATTTTCATGCAGTGTACGCTTCAGCCTATGATTTTTGCAGTGGGGAAGGATTTTGTGCCGCTGGTTCACTGGGGTAGCTTGCTTTTCTCTTTTTCTCCCTTTATTTGAACAGCTTCTATTTAGCTCGTTTTTTTTACATTCCCCACCGCGCGTACATGATGCTTTTTATAACATTTACGAACTTAGAGATGGGTTTGTTGGTTGGATTTAGGACTGTTAGGAGTATGCTTTTATATTAATAATTCAGCTATATTTCTTCACTTTAAAGCAGAATACCTTATACCATGGCGTAATACACCAATAACGATGTCATAACCCATTCATAAAGAGCTTTGTTAAAGGTATTTTACAGCTGCTTTAGCTTTAACCCTTTACCTGCATTCGTATATATCCCCTTGCTTTTGAGTTCTTCTCGCTTTGACTCGTTTTGCCACTTCCGATGGCTTTTCGGCACATGCTTTCGACATCTCATTGGATGTGTTCCTTGCTTGCATTGCAAAATTATGCACGAACTGGTAATCACTTTTGGCATACATGGTCTCCCCATGAAATATTTCACTGGAATCGGCTGTGTGTTTACTGCCCTGGTTGGCTTGACGTGACACTGAAGTCTGAACCTTACACAGCAACTTTTTCTTTGTTTACATTCCTTTTCACATTGCTCGTATTGCTACGTCTGCAGTTGTGAAGATTTTTCAAGCAATGACCGAACACCTCTGAAGCTTGACATTTGAGCCCCCCCCCCCATCTGTACCCCCTCTGACTCCCGTGGCTGCGGCGACTCCGTGTGACTCTCAGGGCCGGCGGCGGCGGCGGAGTCATATGAGTCACATGAGCTACTTCAGCCCGGCTCCGGAGCCCGGTGACCCGACCCTGGCGCGCTCTGTGTCACTGGACTACAGACAGGAGAGGCGGCGGCTCACAGGTCAGTCGAGAGCTAGTTATAACAGAATCGGCACAGGTGAATCGAGACGTCCATCTTCTCAATTTGGACGGAGGGATTCTACACGAGGAGGGGTTACAGTAGTGTTGTTGTCGGCAAAAGAAGCTGATTTGTGTCTATTTTAATGTGAAAGAAAGTAAAATTTCTATGAAATTAGCATTACTTGATCTAACGCATGGCCTAACCCTAGCCCACCAGATTTCTTACATCTGTCCTGTCTTGTCGCTTGTCCTGCTGCACCTTCTCTGTCGTGTTCCAGTCTTCACTTGACCTGAAATTCCCTGTAGGGCTATTTTGAACCTATCCTGGACTACGTGAAACCCGCCCGACCCTTTTCTGACCCTAATCCACCCTGATCCTCACCAAACCTTACCCTATGACATCTCTTTAGTGACCTGACCTTCTCTGACCGCCCGTCCCACCAGACGTATCACACCTAACAGCTCCCCCGGAGATCATGATGCCGATCATCACGAGGACGGCGGCCACGCCTCAGTCATCTCCTCACGCCACGCTGGAGAGTCGGCACAACCACCGGCACGCAGCTCTGGCTGACGTCATACAGGTGAGAGGGGAGAGAGAGAGAGAGAGAGCAGGCACAACCACCGGCACTCTGCCCTGGCGGACGTCATACAGGTGAGAAGGGAGAGAGAGAGAGAGAGAGAGAGAGAGAGAGAGAGAGAGAGAGAGAGAGAGAGAGAGCAGGCACAACCACCGGCACGCTGCCCTGGCTGACGTCATACATGTGAGAGAGAGAGAGAGAGAGAGAGAGAGAGAGAGAGAGAGAGAGAGAGAGAGAGAGAGAGAGAAAGAGAGAGAGATAGAGAGAGAGAGAGAGAGAGAGAGAGAGAGGAGAGAGAGCACCGTCACACCTCACTAGCTGATGTCATATCGGTGAAAGGGAATATGACTTTATTGGGAGAGACAAAGCTGCAAAGAGCTGAGGCCTGAGTGTATTATAAAGGGCTGCTAGGCTTCTTGCTCGTAGGAGGTATTGCCAAATATTATGTCAATGATAATCTTTGTTTGTGTTCTGTTCATATTTTTTACCACTTGAGCTTTTATCAATCTTCAAACTTTCTTTCTCATGCCTTAACTGTCTCGTTTTGGCCCCCACCCGGTTTGAGTTTTAAACTGATTATTTTATTTATTCCGATAAATGTTATCGATGTTTCATCTCCTTATGACCCGTCGGCCTGTATCCCGCAGGGTGGCGAGTGCCGGAACGGTTCCGGTCTCTCGGGGACGGGCCACTGTTCACTGAGCTCCTGTCCGTCGACACCGGGCCGCTCTGACGTCAGCAGCCACGAGCCAATCGCTGAGGAGGGTGAGGAGGGTACCTCTGAACAGGAGACACCGCAGCCCACTCTCAGGTACGCCATCTTCTTTCCGTCCTCAAGACTTCTTTCCTTCTTTTCCATCCTTGAGACAGTCAACTCCTCCACGCCCCTAAACCCTTGTTCCGGGCTGGACAGTGAACGGTCACCTTTATCCGAAGGGTGTAGCTCCTCAGGAACAGGTTCACGCGCGGTGCGGTGACCGGTAGCGCGGAGTCTGGGTGGCCTGTTCACTGTGACGGGTTCAGCTCCGGTGGAGCACAGGGGCGGCCGCCCAGACCATATTAATTGGTAATTATCGATGAGTAGTTTCAATTTGAATGCTGACTCATTTTTACTCGTAATTCGTAATAACAGGACTTACACCCTTTGAATACGCGCAGATGATAATATTACACGTGTAATTTTATTAGAGAGACAACCTTTTCATTATCTAATTCTCATTGATGCCGTAACGATTTTGCTGTCCAGTTAACTGGGAACATCCAACATTCAGACCGATTCAGTCTCTGGGTCTCAAACGATTTACTGCTTCAGAGCTTGGAAATTGGCCAACGCATTTCCCGGAGCCGACGTCTTCAATTTGGCCGCTTAGTGTGGAGCTGTTGCCGCATTTAAAGCAGACGCTATTTTCTTTCTTTTCCGCTTATTTACGCAGAAGGCAGCCACTTAGGAAATCGATGTGACTTGCTGCCTGCTGGTAAAAAAGCGTTCAACTTTCGTTCGTTAGTTGCTTGTATGTCGCGGTTCTGCAGTATAGTTCTGTAGTATGGTACAGGCGAGGGCGTATTTACATCGGTTAGGTATGTGAGGAAGTAAGTTGAAGTTCGAACATATCAACTGGTAGCCAAAGGTACTGCTTCACAGCAGAAGACGTCACATCCGAACGGCCAGGAACGCGGGGTCTCGTTGCCGTTTCTTATATCACTTCTAACCACGCAGAAAATTACTATGCGCAATCTTATATTGGTGCTAGGGACAAAAAAGTTAAATCGATTTATTTGTCGAATTCGAAAAAACATCCTAGCAACATTTCGCTCAGCGTTCACTTTCCTTTCAGTTGTAGTCAACCCATCCTATTTCCCACAAACAGCCCCAGACTACATCGTAGCGCCTGCACGCTGGTCTACCGCGGTCGTCTCTGAGCCAATCAGAAACCCATTACCAGCCTCTGTCGACGTCACCGGGACGTTTTGTGACGTCACAGGGGGTGTTGACCGAGTCGACGCCTCGGTATTTGCAGAGTCCACCGCAGGCCTTTTGATGTGCCGACGCCGGCCTCGCTGGGCTGGGCCAATAGTCATCGGTTGATCACGTGATCTGTTGCTGTCACTTGGCGCTAGGCTGTGCAGAATGGTAGGGTCACGTGACACTATGGTGTGAGAATAGTTATAGTCACGTGATACCGATCTGAGTAGACGGGAAATGTGTTTTGCGTTGTTGTTGAAGGGGGTGTTAGCAAGAAACATGAGATTCAATGCGTCGACAAGGTGTTTGCTGTTGTGTTTCTGGACTACGGGTGCTTGTTACAGGTACTTGTTTCGTAATGCAGAACTTGTTTTAGCTTATTTTCATCGCTATTAATATTGCGACATAAGCTCGGTTTTAAGCTACAACACTGTCGATAAGCCAAAACATGTCGAACATTGTGGCTTAAAATCCCCGAACGGAAAAAGTTGACTTCATATTTATTTGCCTAATCCCTATAACTCAACATTCCGCAAGTGTTATTACGTACTCGCCCATATGCTGAATGTTGCTTGCCCACCGATAAGCTTTATAAGTGCCATTTGTCCCGCCTATTATTCGGATCGACGTTGTTCGTCCTCGGGTCAACTGCCGACCTCTGTGTGTGCGATCCCTTCCGATGTTCTTCCCTGTCCTTGACTCTGATGAGTCTTTCTCCACGAATAAACGCTTTTTAATCCAGAATCAGCTGCTGTATTGATATGAGTCTTATCGGCTCCGCTGCTTTTGCAGGCATATATGTAGGCATGTAGCTACTAATCACTGTTCATGTCTCTACCGCTGCGTTTTTCTGAGTTGTGATGAGTTATACCGAGCTCTGCCCCTCCCTTTTCCAGTCGTCAGGCGAGCGTCAACCGCGGCCAGCCTCGCTCCTGTCTGGCCCGCAGCAGGAGTGTCAGGAGCGGTCACAAAGTCGAGATCGATGACCCGGCATCGGCACCTACGGCCGATAGGTCAGTGGGGTCAGTCGGTACACGGGAGAAGTTGGGGCAGGGTAGGTCAGAAGGGCCAGAAAATGTCAACAGCGAATACCAGCTGAGATCATGACGGGCCGCCGGGAGGCGTCATTTGGCAAACGGGCGGGGTTGGAATGGGTCCACAGAGGTTGAACTTAAGCAAGGAAAGGTTGGAGTGGGTCAAGAGAGGTCAAGAGATGTCAACTTAAGCAAGGACAGGTCAGAATATATCAGGATAATATCAGTGGGTTAGCAAGGATCGGGTCAGGTCGGTGGAGTTATCGACAAATCGCAGGCAGGTATCAGGGCAGGTCAAGAGTTCAGAGGTCAACAGAGGCATTTGCAGGTCATTAGGGTCTGGAGTCTAAGCAAGTCCTCCAACCCAGCCGATCAGGAGATCCAGACCAAATTTCACAACATTTTACAACATTTCACAACATTCACAACATTCCACAACTATTTCACAACATTACAGCTGTTTTCTTAATCCTTTTCTCTTCCCCCTCGCCCATTCATGCCCCCCCCCCCCCCGTATGCTGTGGACAGCTTTGTCGACACTAAATATAAAACTGGGCAGTCGCCTTTCAACCATCCACCTCGACCGCCTGCAACGAGCACTAACTCCTAGCACTATACGCAGTCCATCAACTAGCACCATCCACTAGCACCATCCGCTTGCACCATTCGCTTGCACTCTCAGCTACCATCCGCTAGCAGGCCTAGCTTTTAGCACTGTTTACTAGCACCACCACTAGCACCACTATTCTAGTATAAGTGCTAACCTCAGAAGCTCGGCATTGGCAAACAATATGCTCGTCTCAAGTGGCTGGCCTCTGAATGGTTGACGAGAACCGAGCCGAGCACAGCCGAGGAGACGGCTTTGGGAGGGTCTCATTTGAGCCGACTTCTGAGCACCGCCTGCGAAACGTTCAAAGACGGGAGAGAGGGAGAGGGAGAAAGAGAGAGAGAGAGAGAGAGAGAGAGAGAGAGAGAGAGAGAGAGAGAGAAAGAGAGAGAGAGAGAGAGGGAGAGGTGAGGTGAGTGAGTGAGTGAGTGAGTGAGTGAGTGAGTGAGTGAGTGAGAGTGAGTGGGAGAGGGAGAGAGAGAGAGAGATAGGGGGGAGAGGATCGTGGTGAAAGGGAGTGAAACTAACTGCATAGGAGAGGAGTTGATGGAAAATTAAGGCCTGGCTACACTATGCGTTTTCTTCGTGCGTTTTTTGCGTGTTTGCGTGTTTTGCGTGATATCGTTCTAGAAAAAAGGATATTACGTTTTTGTGATGTTTTTCACCTTAAATTTTAGTTACATAAGAGTTATTTTAGCTTTTGTATCTAACCAAAGCTAAAATTATATAGTTTATAACTTTTTTCCTAGAACGATATTACGCAAAACACGCAAACCTGCAAAAACGCACGCAGAAAACGCATAGTGTAGCCAGGCCTTTAGAGAATGAAGAACAGTACGATGGGATGCTCGGAGATAGAGAAGCAGCAGCGGACTAATTGGGAAAGAGGAGTGAAAACCTCTGTGAAAAACTTTTCAGTGGGGAGAGAACAGTATTGCAGAGGTGGCGAGAGAATTGCGTTGATCGTGTTGGTCTCAGAGGCAGGTGCAGTACGAATTGCGAAAGCCCGATAAATTGGAACGCTTTGAAGCTGCAGCTATAGCCGCAGTGACATTCATCGAGCAGTGGCGGCGGCGAGCGAGTTTTGGTATCGCCTTTAGCTGTATTCGAATCAGTGGTTTTGTATAGGGTCAGGGGCGAAAGGAGAACGATTCGTAGCCCAAAGAATTGATTGAGAAGAGGCAGGAAGCATCTGACAAAAGACGGCTGTCCAGGGCACAGTCGGGGAATAGGCAGGATATTTATTTCACTAATGGTCTGTATGTAACGTAGATAATAATTCGCACAAACGCTATTGCTAAAATTGCAGCTTTGTTTATTGAGGGCGACGTGCTCATATTTAAACCAATTGGACAGTGTTTTTTTCTGCAGCGAGATCTGAAAACGCCGAACGCAGACCGACAAACGAGAGTGCACTTTGGAGCAACATTCATAATGCACTCCGCAAAATGTACGCCCGCCCGACGCGTGTCATAAATGTTCGTTAGTGTTGGTCGATCCGCGCGGGAACACGTTGAACGGATATTTATATTCTCCACAGACAAGGCAACGGGCGGAAACTTTTGTAGGCAGGCAGAGTGCTACCTTGCACACACGTGTTAAAGGTTCGTAACATTTTAGGTGGGGGGAGCAACGATCTCTTAATTGTCCGAATGTGCGAAAATTTACTGCATTTTTTTCTCGCACAAAAGGGATGGGTAAACAAGATGTCTCAATATTTTGCTTGGTTTGTTTTCGTAATGTATTCTTATTCCCTAAATCAAACCCACTGACTGTAATAGAATTGCTTGTTACTGACTCATGGCCCTCGCTTCCCAGGCTGTCGGGGCGAGACGAGCCATACCAGCGGTACAATGGTCGCGTGAGGAAGTTCTCATGCGACTCCCAGCAGCGCGCCCCGTCCAGCGACGGCTCCAGAAGGCTGAGTTTCTCCGACACACCGTCCAGCTACATGGCCAGCCGTCATAACTCCTTTGGCAGTCGCCGAAACTCCACAGTTAGCCGGCATAACTCGTTTGGGAGTCGGCCTAACTCACTGAGTAGTCGGCAGAATTCCTTTCGGAGTCGAAACAACTCGATTGGAAGCCGGTACTATTCGATCGGGAGCCGCCAAAACTCAGTCGGAAGCAGGAGAAATTCGGTCACCAGCAGACAAAACTCGTTCCGGTTCAGTCGACAGAGCTCACTGCATCGGCAGGTAAGCTGAGCTGTTCATCAACTAAAATCATAGAAATTTATTGCTTCATCGTTCCGTCCTTTCCATTTTCAAGACATTCAAATATCTCTCCTTCACACCTCAATCCCCTGTTCTAGCACGGTCAACCTTATCCCATGCGGATAAGGAGAAGCCCGTAGCCGGACATACGGTGACTGTCAGGGGGCTGCGTGGCTTGTCCTCTGGACGGGCTCAGACCCGACCAACTGCCTATATCCATATCAGTTAAATTTGATTAACTTTTGAGTTATCAAGGATAATTTTGATGTCTGTACTCAAGGTGAATGCTGACGACATGCTAGCAATATCTTTTTTTTTTGCATCCCTCGCCCACTTAGACTCTTACCCTCTTCATAGCCTCACACCTCCCCCTCCCTTGCCACTCTGACGTCATCACACCGTCATGACGTCACTCTGTCAATCGTCTGCAGTCCTCGGTGTGCTCCTGGTCATCGGCGGCGCCCAAGTTCACCGTTCTGGCCCTGGACACTATACCACTGGACCGAAGTGGGTCGGCTCTCACCAACTCCATATCGCCACATAAGAAGGTGCCGAAGCTACTGGGTCTCTTCGAGCCGCTCGAGTGTATGAAGAAGAGGGCAGACTGGTCGCTATATCTCTTCGCCCCGGATAATGTGTAAGTGAGAGGTAGGGTTAGATTGGGGTAGAGGGGCTGGCGGTCTCTTAGAAGGAGAGGGTACTAGGTAACGAGAGATTGAAAAAGAGGTGTTTTGTCTTCAATCCCTCCTTCAATCCCTTTCAGTCCCCATTGCGGGGTCAAAAGGAGTTTGACTAGACTGGTCTGGATCACGGCTTTGTTGAGGTTCTTCTTTGAAAAAGGAATGCACCTCTAAGGCGATCATAAATGTTCTATCGAGGTAATATTAAAACGAAATCGAGATTTTTTGACGAGTCATACCAGCTCGAATATTGCATTAGCTAGTTCAACGTTCAACGATCAACGTCTTTGCTCATTATGTTTGGTTATTAACCATGAATATAAAAGTACTCGTTGGTGTGAGGCCCACATTATCGGTGAGCATCGCATCATATATCGGTGAGCGTTCCCCATTACTACTGTCTCCCCTCCCCCCCCCCCCTCTTACCTTCATGCTACAGCGTACGGCGGCTGTGCCGGTGGCTGACGGCGCAGCGCTGGTTCGACCACACCATTCTCTTCTTCATCGCCCTCAACTGCATCACCTTGGCCATGGAGAGGCCCAACATCCCTCCCGACTCGTACGAGCGCGCCTTCCTGGTCGCCTGTAACTACCTCTTCACGGTGGTCTTCGGACTGGAGATGCTGGTCAAGGTGAGTGGATTTAAGGGAATAGGAGTGTGTGGAGGTGTGATACTAAGTGGTACGGTCAGATGTAATGCAAATAGTCAGGTGAAAACGAATGCAGTGAATGCCTGATCGGCTAAAAAGCGTGATATTCTCCGCGGATTCATTTATATCGAATTACACCGCATTCTACTCATGGCTGTTCACGTGCACAGGCGACTCTTCGAACGGTGAATTGAGAATCGTATAATTATAAATATCCTTGTTTTAGTGATATAAGGAGGCCCGAATCTGATGCTGGTCGCCCACCGACCTTTATCAGCTAATCAAAACCGAATTTTGGTCCGACTGGTGAAAACCGACTGGTCAAAACCGAATGTTACAAGTCGACTGATTCCCATGGGAGAATGGAATCATTAGCTGCTCGCTTTCTACTCCTTTCCTCCATATCTTCGTCATTTCATCTTAATTGTAAATGATATTGAAACAGCGTAACAAATATGTACTCTGCCCCAATTGCCGTAATCGTCAGGCTATACATATGTGGATTTTTAGAAGGCTTTTTATGTCCATACACACATATCTACATGCATTACATACATATTCTGACCTTTTCCATTTCAGGTTATCTCCCATAACCTGTTGTACGGCCACAACAGCTACTTCAGCTCCGGCTGGAACGTCATGGACGGCATCCTGGTACTCATCAGCGTGGTTGACCTCTGCATGTCTCTCATGTCCACCGGCTCGCCAAAGATCTTCAACATACTCAGGGTCAGTTGTCAGAGAGAGGGGGAGGGAGAGAGAGGGGAGGGAGAGAGAGAGAGAGAGAGAGAGAGAGAGAGAGAGAGAGAGAGAGAGAGAGAGAGAGAGAGAGAGAGAGAGAGAGAGAGAGAGAGAGAGAGAGAGAGATTGAACACGATGGTGTTTAGAGGTTGGTCTAATACAACTTCTTTCATCAGCTGGTAAAGAATGGAAGGTGTTTTGTTTTCGGAAAACTGTTACGCTCACTGTTGTAATTCTCTGTCGGCAGAGATTTCGTCTGTTGCGCTCATTGTTGGTTGTTATTCCATGTTGTTTCGGCAGATATTTCGTCTGTTGCGCTCACGTTAGTTGTTATTCCCTGTCCTGTCGGCAGGTATTCCGTTTGTTGCGCTCACTGCGTCCCCTGCGGGTTATCAACCGCGCACCCGGTCTGAAGCTTGTGGTACAGACCCTGCTGTCCAGTCTGAAGCCCATCGGCAACATCGTCCTCATCTGCATGACCTTCTTCGTCATCTTCGGCATTCTCGGCGTCCAGGTCTGTGCGAGGAACTGGTGAAGCGTTCAGATACGGTAGAAGAACCCTGTGTCTTCGGCTTTCTGGGATATTACTGGGATATGTATTAGGACAATTTTATCGGCTATATAATTCTCACCATGCTTAACTCAACGTTTAAATGCTTTAAAACTTCTGGCATATTGGTTGATTTCGACACGAAAAAAAATCGTGTGCTGGGTAAGAGTCTTCAGAATGTTGGTTTTATGTATTCTACACAACATATTAGCATCGTTTGCATGCAGGCATAATTGAGCGATTTCGGGGAGTACCTAACGACTCGGGTACACAAAATTAGAAGCAATATTGTCGAGCTGTGCATTGTCGTTTCGATAATGGCCATACCGTTACCTAAATTCTGAGTGAATACTTCTATCAAACGGTGGCTTAGTTCAGTTTCTATCGACAATTCCAAGCACAGCTACCTACGATGAACAAAACTGGTGTAGTATATTTTCACTGACATCCTCCACTTTCCTCACAGCTGTTCAAGGGCACATTCTACTACTGCGACGGAGACGACTTAGTGGGTGTCACCAACAAAACCGAATGTCTCAGTCGACCGGGAAATGCCTGGGTCAACCGCAAGTACAACTTTGACAACCTGGGCACGGCCCTGATGGCCCTGTTCGTGCTCTCATCGAAGGACGGCTGGGTGAACATCATGTACACCGGCCTGGACGCAGTGGGGGTGGACCAGCAGGTGGGAACGAGTTGATGAGTTGTTTGGAAGCTGCCTGGACGGTGGCGCCAGTTTGTTGGTTTTGGTGGTTCTAAGCTTCTTTGGGTTTTACTGGGAGGGTTGTGAGTTAGCTGTATAATTATTTTTAGTCCATGCGATTGAAAGAACAAGAAAGGAGCCACAGGGGAACTTAACGGGACAATGAGAAAGCTTGTGGATATTGTCATTTTGATAGTGTGATTTGTAAAGTTGTCGAAAAAAGTTCTAGGTCTGTTGCATTTTTCTTGATTACCGGCCGTCAAAAATTATTGCATTTGGGCCCGGTGTCAGGTCTATGTCCAATGGCATATTTGTTTTCAATCAACCATTATCGTGATATTTCTATAAATGACAGGCAGTCAACGTTTACCCAAAGTGTGGTGTGTAAATCAGACCTATATAACATACCGTGCCGTCTAACTGCCGTCCCTCTATCCCACCGCAGCCGATCGAGAACTACTCCGAGTGGCGTCTGGTGTACTTCATCTCCTTCCTTCTCCTCGTCGGCTTCTTTGTGCTCAACATGTTCGTCGGAGTCGTGGTGGAAAACTTCCACCGGTGTCGTGAAGAACAAGAGAAGGAGGAGAAGGCGCGCAGGGCCGCCAAACGAGCCAAAAAGATGGAGAAGAAGAGGAAAAGTATGATGCTGGCCAACGGCTGCGGTTGGTGGAGACATCTTGTGGCGACTTGTCAAAGCTTAACTTGGATTGTCACCGCTGCTAGCAGCACCCGTTTGCTTGCGGCCGGCCGCCCCCGTGGTCACCTGGTGCAGCCTGAGACCCAGGCCCTGTTTTACTGTACGCTTCTAGCGGGTAGTAGCGGCTACTAGTGGTTTGGGATTACTAGCATCAACAAACTGGATGCTCACTTAGCAGTTTGTTGATGTTTCCATGGGAACCGAAATTACTACACCTTTTTAGGCGCAATTTCAAAAAGTTAATGACCAAATTCAAAACGCTCACGTGCATTTCGAACGTAAACTTTTTGAATTTGGCCTTTAACTTTTTGAAATTGCTCCTAAAAAGGTGTAGAAGACCCGCCCACTACTACCTTCTAGAAGCGTGCTGTGAGACAGGGCGGCGGGGTGCGGTCAGCCGCTTCACGGCCTGCCTTGGTATGGTTTGTCAGCCGCCGCACGATGCCTACTCCAGGACACCGTTTTTGGGACTAGTGACGTCATTAGTATATGACGTCGGTATGTGGCTTGAGCACGCCAGCGGTGGACCGAGACATTTGTTATGGTCTCGTGCATAAATTTTTATGTTCATTCATCCGTGACCTGTTTTCAAGTCAAAAAGTTCAGCTTCTTTCACTCAGTGGACATTCCTGCAAGGTAACATTTTGCCTTGCAGTCTCGATTGTTTTGCCACCCGTTGCATGGTCCACCGCTGGTTTGTGACTCTATTTTTAGCTAGGGATAGACAGCATTAGACTGCTCATCGTAAAATCACAATTTGTGGAGTAATTGATTTGGCTTAGTTGAAACATGGTTGACTCCCCGATAAACATCATATATCTTCATCTGTCATACAGCTCACTGTGGTATTTGCGCTTATTGCCTGAACTTAATGAATCAATCACACGAATAAAGCCTGCTTCTTCTCCGAGTTACTAAAAATACGACACCGTACTTTCCTGAGAGTGACCCGCATGTTTTGCTAACAATAACAAAACATTAAAATGCCGGATTCCTATCGCTTCCTTTTTATACAATTTGACAATAAGTACATCGTCAACCTTTCAGCACCGCGTGGTTTTCGAGCTTGGAACTAACAGCATGTTCAAAAATGGTTCATCGCTGTAATTTTGTCCAGCTACACCCGAAATTGAACGCCACTGCCCACTTGCCCTTCACTTTAATTTTCAATCTTTATGTCCTAACACCTTTTTGGCACCGGTATGGGCTGACTGTAAAAACTCCGCTCTACTCGTATCAATCAATTTCGAACACTTTCTCATCACTTTTTGGATGGCTGGATTATGGCTGGATCTTCAGTTATCATCGCACAATATCAATGACTAACGTTTAACGCCGTATGATTACGCTCTCTGACCTTTTCTTCCGTGCCCTTGTCCACCCTTTTCTCTTCTCCTCCACAGAAATGCGCGAGCAGCCTTACTACGCCACGTACACGCCCGGTCGCCTTCTAATCCACAACATCGTCACCTCCAAGTACTTCGACCTGGCCATAGCGAATGTGATCGGCCTGAACGTCGTCTCCATGGCCATGGAGTATTACAAGATGCCCGAGGTAGGCAAGTGCTCGGGTATCCGATACCCAAGGTAGGAAGCCAAACCGCCGTTCTGTCATTTTTATCTTCAGGAGAGTCAACCCCTTCTCTCTACGCTAACGCCTCTAACCGTCGGGTCCGGGCTGAATGATCACTTTCATCCGATGTGAGTAGCTTTTCAGGAGCAGGCTCACGTGGGGTGTGCAGTGACCGTTAGCGGGTCTGGGTGGTCTGTCCATCCAGACGGGCTCAGCCCCGACGGAGCACCAGGGTGACCGTCAGGACCAGTGTCTCCCTCTAATTCTTATCATCCTTCCGGCTCTGAAATGGTCTCATTGTACCAAAAAACATAACTAACCCTAAAAAAATAAAAAGCAGGACTCCAAGTGACCTTTGTGGTGCCAAAGATGCCTGAGGTGGGAGCTGTCGTCAGTGGGTCTCTCACGTATCCGGGCTGAGTTTTAGGTGTGGAGCACGGTGACACTTCCAGTGATCGTGGGTGGTGGCGGGATGTCCCAAAATTCAGGGATGCTGAAAATCATTGACCACCTGTAGCCAGAGAGAAGGAACCCGTGTTGGCCGATAAAAAATATAGGCGTACACATGTATTTAACTATATGAAGAGACGTTTAAAAATTGCATAAGACGCTATAGTGTTGTGGGGAATACTTTCCTTTACTTCATATTTATGAAGAAAGCAATGTGTATGACAACTTTCAGTGTTTTGTGGCTGATCTATTCCTGACATAAGCGTGATCGATAGGAGTTGCGGTATGCACTGCGCGTCTTCAACTTCTTCTTCACGGCCGTCTTCACGTTGGAGATGCTGATGAAAGTGGTGGCCCTCGGCTGGAGACGCTACCTGAAGGACAGGTCAGTGGTGAGGTGAAGGTCACCAGCTGTCTGATTTGGCGTTTGCCCCAGTAATTTATCTTGCGGTAAAAAAAAATTGGCACCATTCCTAATGTTTCAGTATCATTGCAATGCGCGACAAGGAAATAGAAAAGCTGGAATCTGGACGTCGGTATCATGGTTCTGTTTTTTTCCTTTGATTTTTGCCCTCTGTAGCCTGTGACCTCTCTGTGATCTTACTCTGACCCCTGACCGCTTACCTTTGACCTCTGACCTCTGACCTGACCTCTAACCCTTGACCGCTGATCTCTGACCTGACCGCTGACCTCCCGCTTCTGTTGTACAGGTGGAACCAGCTCGACGTCGGTATCGTGGTCCTCTCCGTGGTCGGTATCGTTCTGGAGGAGATGGAAAACGATCTGATTCCCATCAACCCGACCATCATTCGCGTCATGAGGGTCATGAGGATAGCCAGGGGTGAGTATGAGGGTCATGAGGATAGCCAGGGGTGAGTATGAGGGTCATGAGGATAGCCAGGGGTGAGTATGAGGGTCATGAGGATAGCCAGGGGTGAGTATGAGGGTCACGAGGATAGCCAGGGGTGAGTATGAGGGTCATGAGGATAGCCAGGGGTGAGTGGACCAACTCGGGACGGACTAAGGTCTGCAGAGGTGGGCGACCCGCTGGCCACGCGTCTGAAAAGATTGAACAGGACCTGTTAATTTGTTGGTGTAAATAGTTAGGTTTTGATTGAACGACTGACTGACGGACTTCCTTAATGAATGAATTGATGGAAGGATGAATGAATTTATCTACGAATGAATGAATGAATGAATGACTGAACGAATGAATGTTAAAATATGTGATGGAATGTGTATGAGCTTTCTGCGAAAGGAAAATAACGCATGTTATACAAAGCATTCAACCTCGATGCGTAAAAAATGCGTTCGTCTTAAATTGGCGTTCAATTCAAATGGTGGTGCATAAAAATCGCAGTTGATGCCTTTTCGAAATTGCGTCTCCCTTGTTGCCATTTTATCGTTCTAATTCAACGCCAGTCTGACAGTGGGTTGTCGTTTTGTTTCCAGTGCTGAAGTTACTG